TTCTTCTTTAGGTTAGTATCAGGCATTGGATAAGCAGCAGGGTTTTCATTTAATAATAAAACATCTTAACAGCAAATAAGAAATTCTATAAATCTAGATCATGTAAGATGACAGAAGATTAATATTCTAATTAAACATGGCAATTCCAATCATTTTTATCTTTATGGAAATACTCAACATTTTGACACACTTCAGCTATAAATGGATGGTTTCAGTCTGATGGCAAATTGAAACAATTTCTCATGTGATATTTGTAAGCTGTCACTGGCAGCAAGAGATGGTATTCAGCTAAATCTAGAGCTCCAGATTCTAGACATTTGCATTCAGAGGACTAATTCTGACATCTCCCTTTCTCCATGGGTAGCTTGTACAATAATATCCCAGAAGCCATACACACTATGATAAATTAATTTGAGGTTTTATGACTTGAAAAACTCATACCCAAAGGTACTTTGCTCGCCCCTATAGAATGTCACACTTTGTGCAGGACTGATGGATTTGAGCAACTACTGGCTTCGTGATTTAGCATCCTACTACTTCTGATCCTCATAGGAGACCATGTCAGTTATTACTGTCCCTACAGATGAGGGAATCGAGGCTCAGAGCAGCAAGTAATTTTGCAAAAGTCGCAGAGCTGGAAGGTAGCAGATCTAGGATTGGGAGTGAGGACAATCAAGCTCTTGACGATCACCTTCACCCCACTAAAGAAGCTACACACAGCATTCGATGAAAGGGGACTCAATAAACATTTGTTGGTTTGTTCTTTTGCAATATTCTAGGCCAAAAAAGACACTTTGTTAACTGATGACACACAGCTATATGAGGGGTCTTTTAAAAGTGCATGGAAAAACATATATTATGAAAAACTGTGCAAGGATTTCAAATCTTTTTTGCACCAAAATAAATTTACCTTGTGGCCAGCATTGTGGTTTAAAAGGTTAAGCTTCCACCTGCAGTGCTGGCATCCAATATGGACACCGGTTTGAGTCCTGGCTGCTTCTCTTCCAGTCCAGCTCCCTGCTAATGGCCTGAGAAAGCAGTATTAGATAGCCCAAGAGCTTGGGTCCCTGCATCCCCATGGGAGACCCACAAGAAGCTCCTGGCTCCAGGCTGGATCAGCCCAGCTCCAACTGTTGCTGCCATTTGGGGAGTGAACCAGCAGATGGAAGACCTTTCTGTCTCTCCCTCTCTGTAATTCTACCTCTCAAATAAATAAATAAAATCTTAAAAAATAAATTTACCTTTTAGTTCCATTTTCCACAACCTCTTAAACTCCCTTATACAAACCATAAGTTCTTTGTCACATTTCCTCTGTGATTGTTCTTTCACCCCAAATCTGCCCCCCAACCATCACCATCGCCATCATCATCATCTTCAAAATATGGGTTTTACTTGAAGGATAAATATTTTTCAAGGAAATATAAATAATTTAACAGATCATGCTTTCCTTTCTTTTTATGTTAAACAATTTTAATCTTTAAAATCTACTTTTGGGGCCAGCACTGTGGCGCAGTAGGTTAATCTTCCGCCTGTAGTGCCAGCATCCCATATGGGCGTCGGTTCTAGTCCTGGCTGCTCCTCTTCCAATCCAGCTCTCTGCTATGGCCTGGGAGCGCAGTGAAAGATGGCCCAAGTGCTTGGGGCCCTGCACCCATGTGGGAGACCCAGAAGAAGGCCCTGACTCCTGGCCTCGGATTGGCCCAGCAGTGGCTGTTGTGGCCATTTAAGGAGTGAACCAGCAGATGGAAGACCTTTCTCTCTGTCTCTCCCTCTCACTGTAACTCTACCTCTCAAATAAATAAATAAACTTAAAAAAATGCACACTCTTTAAAAAATTTACTTTTAAGCTAAACATATTGTTGGCATCAGTACTTTTATTAGTACCTATCTAAGGTGCTTAAAACTGTTGTCTAAAATTCCCTTGAGAAACATCACTTTTCAGCAAAGTTAAGCAATTTCTGTTCCTTTGGAGACTCCACTTACCCTTTTATAGTCACATACGCTGAAATTTACCCACCAAAGCCAAATACTAGACATACCCCTAACAAAGTATGAATGCAGACGTGTGAACAAAGTTCAGCTTAAAGAGTGTAAGTTTTGAAAACTTGGGAACATGTCAGGGAAAAGAAAATCACTGTGAGAAAAACAGCACAATAAATATTCTCCAATCTTTGCAGTCTAATTATATTGGCTGCTGCTACTGCAAAATACTTAGCAATACCACGATGCTTTTAGGTTGATAAAACTCTGTGGGGTGGAATAATGTTTATTGAGTCAATTAATTTTCCAAAAGTTATTGATGCCTTTAGCACAAGCTTTGCTTCTCCTAGATTTAAAAAGATAATGTCTCGAGGGCATGACAGTCCTTTGTCATCTTTAAAATCCCCAGTAGGCTTAGCCTAGTCTTCTCTTGTAAGAATTTGCTCAATAAATGTTTGTTGAGTGAATATTAGCATTAAATAACTATTCTCTAAGCCTTATGATTCTGTAACTGAAAGAAATTATAACTAAAAAATAAACTACAGTCATAACATTGTGAATGCACTGAATGTCAATGACTTGTACACCTTAAATTGGTTAAATTTAAGCTATATGAATTTTGCTTCCTTATGTAAGACTAAAAAAATGCAGCAATTAGGGGATAGCAAGCTTCCATTAAAATTCAACATGATATAGTTTCATAATTTCAAATCAACTACAGAATACAAAAGAGGTCATAAATAATGTTTTATGAGGAGGAAGTTTTTTAAAATCCTTATTAAACAGATAAAATACAAAAGCTACAACAGAATTTCCAGAAATTGTGATGTAAATAACCTGAACTATTTCAAGCACCCGCGGCTCAGTGAGAAGTGTTTAAAGGGTTTTTCAGACTCCTGCTACCATGTAAAGGGGAGGAAGGAGCGCAGCCTTGCAGAAGGAAAGAAAAAGTGAATCAGAAATGTCCCAAGTGCAGAAGACAGACTTTGCCTGCACACCCCTCCTGTCGCCAACCCCAATCTCAGCCCCACATTGAGGGTGGCATTTCTAAGAGTCACGCTCATAGTTTCCAGAACAAGGCTTCCTCCCTTTCATGACAATGCGATGCCAGGCTGTTTATTTACTTATTTTTTTAAGTAGTAAAGAAAAAAGCCACTTAATTCAGGAGGGTTGAAGGCACAACTGCCGCCTCTCCCAGTGCAGGGAGCAGCAGGCTTCTCTCCCGATTGTTGACAGAACCGTTCCTCTCTTGGGTTTATGGAGATAACTGCTGAAGTGCACACAGTCTGAGGACATTGTGTGCAGTTTTCAAACTGTATCTGCCGTTGTGAAAGGCCAGCGATTACACCGTTGTTCTCAAAAAGTTAACACATTCCCAGCAAGCTGCAGCCTGGAATCTTGTCTGTATCAAATTTTCCTTTCTGCTTTCTGATAAATCACAATGTGACAGCCAAGCCCCCTGCCTCCCTCCTCTGTTTTACTTGCTCATTAGGTCTTTAAAAGAAAATGCAAATCCTCATCTCTTCATTAACCCATCTTAGAAAATAACTCAGATGTTCCTAATTTCTCGTCTGATTTATCAGACCGGTCCCTGATAACTTTTGAAAGAAGACTATTCAACATTCTCAAGGACAAAGAACACTTTATAGAAATAAATAAAAAAGAAGTTCTGACACAGGCATGGGAGGCGTAAAGCACCAAGATGTTTGGTAAATGTTGCTTGCTTGTGAATTATTTCAAGTTCTGCCCAAACCAATGGACACATTCTGTTGAAAATGCTTGATTCAAAAACTTCTCTTACAGACTGTATGAAAATACCTCGCGGCTCCACTCCGCATTGTGCAAGCCTGACAGGCTAAAGGGAATCAACAATCTCACGCAAGCTTTGCTTTTTAAAGAAAACACCAACAAGTTCGGAGACGTGACACCGGCGGAATGGATCAAAACGAGTTCATGCTTCCTCCTGTAATTCTCCCCACGTGAGTGTATCTGCGCATTTTTTTAAACCACTCCAAAATTGAGTTCTTTCCCCCACACACACCAACACTAACTAAATCCTAGGGTCTTCTCAGAAGGTGTCCCCGTGCTCGGGCGGTTTTTAGGATTCTACTGACCGTAATCAGGATGACACTGTTTATTTTCCCCGGAGGGGGTCAGGAGTTGGGGGCGGGGTGGCAGGGGAGGGAGAGCAGGTGAGCTTTCGTGTCGGGTGATCAGCCACCGCTCTCTGGGATCTCCGATCCCAACTCCATTTCTCAGTTCCTTACCAGAAACAGAAAACAGACGTGGAGGCACCAGAGGCGAACTACTGACTCCACCAGAGGCGAAGCCCGGCCCTTCCGCCGGGGGGCTTTGCCAGGGAGACACTGACTCCGCCGCCCCAGGCCAGGCTCGGGCTGGGCACCTCCTCGCCACCTCCTCTCTTCCGACAGACGGCCGGGACCTCAGGCCCCCCAAGAAGGCCGCCATTCCGCCCCAAAGTTCTCCGTCTTCGTGGGTCTCCACGTTGGGGAGGGGGCCAGGCGAGGGGCAGTTTACAGGGACAAAGCAGAGAGGATGTGCCCGCGCGGGTGGGGCCCACGCTTGCAGGGCTGTCGGGTCCCAGGGGGGAGGAAAGCAAGCCCGGGAGAAGTTTCCGGAGTGAAAACTCAGGGCTCACGCTGTTCGATCCGAAGACAAACCTCTCCCCGGGGGCCGAGGGGGCTGGGGACGGCCAGGAGGCCGAGGGCAGGCCGCGGCATTGGCTGCCTCCCCTCTGCGCAGAGCTTCCCGGCTCCTCCACCTGGCTCCCGGCGGGGAGCCCTGGCCCTCCTGGGGGAGGAGGGGGGCCGGGGGCTGTTGACTAAGGAAACAGCCGACGCACAGGTCAGCCATCAGGCAAATAATAAACATATTTGCGTGGCCCGTCTGTTAAGCCTGTTTAATGGGCCGTCCCTACATGTAAATGGCGAATGGCGTCCTACCCCAGCCCCCACCGCTCCACCTGTATCAACAACAATGCCTCCGCACCATTATCTTACCTTAATGAACTTAATCTTTAATTTCCCAGCTTGGCCCTGGTACTCAGCCTCCTAACAAAGGAAGTGGGACTGTTTGAGTCCCTGGGAGTCGCCTTCCTGCAACAGCTAGGGGAACTTTAGCCACGACAAGGATTTGTGCCCCTTGTGGGACTGTCAAAAGCAATAAATATTTTTCTTTTGATTCCATCATTAGACCCTCCTAAGAAGGCCTCCCCATTGTCCACTGTCATTCCCAGAGCTCTCTGGGCAGGGGCGTCATTGTGGAAAATGAACCCTGAAGTGTTAACAATCCTGCTAAAGCTGCGACACTCCCCCCCCCCCCCCCCAGGGCGTAACCGTTAGGAATGTGTCGCCTCACCATTGCCTGCTCTGCGAAAAGAGCACTTGTGTTTTTTAACACTGGTCTTTGAGAAGGATGCTCAAGTTAAAGCATTGTGGCCACTGTAAATAGATGCACTCAGCAGAATAGAGCTTCTTCATTCCTAATTAGGGAAGTAACTCCAGAAAGACAGAATGTCACTGGCTGGGCTGTGCAGACTGGAGTTTGTGCTCGCCTCCACAATGTGAGGTAATTGGAGTTGTACCTTTTAGAAAGCTGCTAATTTCACATAGGAAGTGCTAACAAGACCTTTCTGGGCCATGTTTTCCTTCTTCCTTTTTAAGGAAGTTACAGACCTTCAGTAGTGGGAATGGCTGAGCCCTGGCCGGGCGGAGGAAACAGCAGTAATGAACCACTTCAGCCCGCAGTTAGAAAAAGGAGGCCTCATTTTGGAGTCCTGAGAATACTAGGCACAACAAAAGGTTCTGTTTAAGCTTGTTATCCAGGACATTCTTACACGCTACACAGCTCTCCCTGCAATGACCCTCTTCAAACAAGTGCATCAAGTTTGAGCAAATAGAAACACGCAACTTTCAGGGCTCAGAGTTATAGTTTTCTTTACAAAGCCATTTATATAATGTAAGCTGCAATTAGCATGGGACAGAGCGAGGAGATTTAGGCTGGAAAGTTCTTTTAACAAAAGATAGAAATTAGTGGAATAAGTAACAGTTAAATATCGGCTTCTGATAACTAGTTGAAAAGACCTTTTAAATCATTTACTAATATAGAAAAAAATAAAATGATTTTGTCTCAGACCTTGTTCCAACCAAAGTGTGGTCTTTTAAATCACTGAACTGATTAATCTTACTAATTTTAAATTATCCAGCAAGAATGGATCAGAGCAAAAAAAAAAAAGCCCACCCCCCACCCCCCCAATAAAAAGCACTCCAGCTTTTAAGCCTGACAATTTCATCAAAATGTCCATAGGAATTACATAAAAAATTCAAACCGTAATGAAATAAATTGCTACTTACATTATGAAAAGTCTGCAAAAGCTTTTTATAGACTTGAAATGCAGAAGTTATATAAACTGCACAGTAAAAAGAATTAGAAATTGACCTTTATAGATCAAGGGCTAAAATTAACAGTCTTCAGGGGAAAAAAAAATCCCCAGTTCACAATGGCTTTTAATGCCATTTTTCCCTACACTCATTTATCTAATAACCATGGCAAGGTTAGGATAAACAATGAACAGTGTGTTTTCACATTTTCCACCTTTTGTGTCCTCTATATGAATTTCTAAAACACTTAAGAGAATAGATACATAAACCTGTGACCTTCAAATGAGCTTTTTGATACTCTCAACATTTTGAATAAAAAGATCAGAAAATGGAACCACTTTTACACGGCAATGAATTCCATTCTGTTGGGTAAACAAAGCTAAATTTTAAAACAGAGACCTGACATTTGTATAGCTCAAGAAGCTATTCTGTTCTTTTGGGGGTGGGCAGACAAAAAGAGGCGAAGTTGTCAGTACTTTATGGTGGGCTAAATAACGACCAAATCTACAATTCAGAGAGAGACACACACATACACACACAGAGACAGAGAAAGAGAGGGAGAGAGAGAGGGAGAGAGATCCATTTGGCTGCGTTCAAGAGAGGGCCACCGTTCCCAAGATGAGAAAAACAAAAATGTCCACTTTTTATGACTCCCCCCACCCCACGAACAATTGATCCACCCTCCAGTAAAGGGGGCTGGGGGAGGCGGCCCAGGCCGCCATTATGGAGCTAACGCTTATTGACAGGAGCTACAAGGGCTTCCAAAAGTTACTCCAATTTCCGTCGAGCTTTTGTGCATCCGTTGTCCTGTCTGAAAGGCTCAGTTAGGTATTGTTGCAAAAAAAGTCTGCACCCACATTTGTTCCCCGCTAATTCATACTCGGCATTGTGAAGTTGTGCTATTCAGGGGCTGATTGGACAACAGCCCTGACAATGGCCAAGCGATTAGTCTCTCAGCATGGGCTGGGCTTGTGGGTATAAACCTAGGGATGGGGCTGGAATTCACTGGGGCATTCAGCGCCTCTCGGGGCCTTCCTGAGAGGCCGTGCCTCCTTTGCTGCAGGTAATGCATTCCTTCAGAGCCGGGAAACCGAATCCTTGTAATTAGCGTGGCCGGGACCCGGCAGGCCGCCCCCTCCCTGCACGGCGGCCCTCGGGGGCCCCGGCGCTTTCTAAGGAGCTCAGCCCCTGAAACGGTCCAGCCTCGTCGAATTGAAAACTTTCCTGGGCGCCTCGGTGGGCCCGAAAACCAGCACGTCAGGGAGGGGAGCCGGGGCTGGGGGCGAGCGGCGCCGCTTAACCCTTGGCACGCCGCGCCCGCCGCGAGCGCGCCCCTTCCCGCGCGTCTCGGGGCTGCGCGTGCGGACGTCCGCCCGGCGTTCTGCGTGGCAGCACCTTGAATTAATTTAACGTTATTTTCCTCTCGTTTTACACCACTTATGACAACGCGCTGCACAGTCTAACTTAGATCTTTATTGCACAACTATTTGTCGACATGACTACAGGCTACGCCGCGCGGAAAAGCAGGCTGACCAGAAAGATGCAGAAGACGCTCCCGGGGGGTTTTTGCGGGAAGGTTACGTGGGAAATGCCACGGACCCGCGTGGGGGGCTTTCCTCGGACTGCCCGTAACCGTGCGGAAACCGCCGCTTCGATGTGATCCCCACGTCCACGGAGGACTTCCAGACGGCCGTTGGCAGCGGGAGCCACGCACAGCCCCCTTCCGGGAGAAATTAATTAGGTGGCGCCGCGTTCCCGCGGCGGCGGCCGGAAATGAGCCGGGGCGCGGCCCCAGGGCCGACGGGGATCCCCCGGGGCCCGACCGGCTGCGCCCGGAGTCGGAGAGGAGGACGGCGGGCGCCGGCCGCGGCGTGGGGGCAAAGACGAGCGAAGGTCGGTGCCCGGCGGCCGCGCGTGGCTGGGCTGGCGCGACGTGAGGGACGCGCCGCGGGGCCTTCGCGCAAGCCCGCAGCCGAGCGCTGACCCCGAACGGCGGCCCCACCGCACGTACAAAGCAGCGGCGGCGGCAGCCCCAAACACTACTACACATTCGAGTAGAAAAATGAAGATATTCTGGGCAAAAAGAAGTGTTTAGACAATGGCCGTCTGCTTCAGTTTCCCCGTTAGGCGAGGCTCCAGGGTGGGGAGGGGAGGGAGAGAGAGAAAGGAGTGACCATGGCTTCCATACATTTACTGAAAATCCCCTTCTCGGCAGCCCAAGTTATCTCGGCGTTGCCCGCAGCTCTGATTTAGAATGGGAGCCGGCTTGTTTACCGGGTTAATTAACGCCCGGTCCCGAGCTGGGAGGGGAGCCGGCGAGGAAGCGACTCGGTGATACCCAGGTGTAGCCGGGCCTGACTGGGCTCGACCCCGCCGGCGGAAAAGGTAGCTGGCCCGGCTGGAAGCGCAGTAGGTGAGCACCATTTTAGCGGCGAGCCTGTGATTGGAATGGCTTAGGGCGACAATCAGCACTGGGTTTTTTTTTTTCTTCCTGCAGAATGCGTCCTGATTCTGTGCTGTCGCCGAGGAGCGGGGAAGCAGCCGACCTTGGCGACGGAGGTCACCGGCCTGCCTTCTCTTCCTCGGCCTTCACCGCCACGTGGGAGGAAGAGGCACTTAAGGAGGAGCAACCCGGCTCCTGCCTCACGCTGGGACCAGCTTTCTGCTCTGGAAGAAAAAAAAAAAAAATCCCCGGGCCTTCTCTTTTTATTTACTTATTTCGGTTTTTAATTCCGGGAGCCTAATATCTGGGATTGGACTGTCCGCAGCCTACGTGTCTCTGTGACCTTACAGATAACAGGCAGGCTTGGATAGAAAATGAAATTCAAGCGCCAGCTAATTTTAAAAACATAACTAAAAACTCATTCCCAAGGGGAGGGGGAGCGATGGCAGTTTAAGTCCAAGCTGAACATGTCTTTAAATAACTATTCCTGGTATTTGCTAAATGATGGCTGTATGGGGGTAGGGATAGAATTTAGTCATTAAAAACAGCATGTGCTCAAGGTGAGAATAGATGTTTTGTGACCCAGAGTCACCTATATGCTTTGCTGCGAGCCAGCACCTTCCAGAAAACAGACTGGCTGTGTCAGCCATACTGGTGTTTGGTTGGTTGGTTGAACTACCATTGGTGAATGCCTGTGTTACTGCTGATTCTCGGGCTGGCTGTTGTCCTCCTACACTGGGTCTGGAGTAGCCAAGGGCAGGGCAGGCTGAAGACTGGTGCTGGTATCACCTTCGTGTGATGGCACGTGGTTGGGTAATGCAGGTGTCCCTTGTGGCCTCTGACCTGGGCCCAGAGAGCTCAGAACTTGCTGCTCATTCTCGGGTGTGTTACTGCTGATTCTAACAGCTGCCCTGGTCAAGGTGGTTGTGGCCGCCTGCATGTTTGAGAGAGGTTTAGAGAGATTCAGTGATTTGTCCAAGGTCACAGCGCTCAGTGAGTACCACAGTGGACACAGAACTGGGATGTCTCTGCCTTCTTTCTCCTACCCTCTGTGTGGTCAGTGACTCCAGATACCTACAATCATATGGAGGAGGGGATTTCATTCCAAATAAAGACTAGCCATGTCCTCGGTGATAGGAGAGGTCTTTTTGCCTATTGGAGGAGTCCACAGTAGGTTCTGGTTCAGGTCCATGGGGGCCCAACACACATAGAAGTACAGAGTACTTTCCAGAGTGCACAGAGTTCTTTCTGGAAAGATTTCTAGACTGCAAAGGAATCCATTTTGTTGCTGGCTCCACTATCCGTTAATGTGTGACCCTGAGCGAGTCACCTGCTGTGTGAAGGTTTTCTGAAGGCCAACTGGACACATTATCTGTCCCACCTGCCTCACGCTGAGAAGGGCCCAGATGAGCTAAAGTGGGTTCAAATGGACTGCTCACTGCAGGGAGCTACTGAAATGTGCACTTATTACTGATTTCTCACAGATATGAGGTCCTAATGTAAGATTATATGTATGTTTTTTTTTAATGCTTATTTTTTCATCTACTTGAAGGGCACATTGAAAGGGAGAGACCTTCCATTCATTGGTTCACTCCCCAAATGCCTGCAAACAGTTGAGGCTGGGCCAGGCCTGTGCCAGAAGCCAGGAACTACAGCCAAGTCTCCCACATGGGTGGCACGTAACTAACTACTTGAAACACCATCTGTGCACCAGCAGGAAGCTGAATTGGAAGTGGAGCTGGGATTCAAACCTAGGGACACTGTTATGGGTTGTGGTCATCCCAAGCAGCAGCTTAACCACTGTGTACCAGATGCCCCCTTGGCCATATTTTGCACTCATCAAAATAACACACATATGTCTACATGTCAAATAGTATATATGCACTTATGGTAAAAGGATGAGTTTGTCCTACCTTCAGTCCACCACTCAGAGGCAACCTTGGATCAACTTGATTTTTAGTTCTTCTGATGCTTCTGAGATTGCTAGACATATACAGGATACCCTGGAAAATTAGAATTTCAGATAAACAATGACAAAAGTATTTCAAATATGCATAATAGTGTTTTATCTGGCACCCTCTAATGTATGATGGTACTTCAAAGAGTTCGTGAAACATTTGAATTAAAAGATGTTTATTTTGGTGCAAAAATGACTTGAATTCCATGTACAGATTTTTCATATATGCACTTTCTGTGAACTTTTTAAGGATCACTCATACTTACATATTT